AACTTAAAACAAGCAGTGAACTCCAACACAATGTGTTAATAAGGCGCGTCATTAACTCGCACATATCCACCCCTTTAGTTTTCATTTACAGAGATTTCAAAATAGGCAAGCAGCACAATAACAAGAGAATTCACGATCCAACACTGCAAGGTCAACTACGCACCTTGACGAGACCGTGTATTGTGAATCTAGAAAGCTATTCGAACGAATTTAAGTTTTTTGATCTGCCTTAAGCAAAATCTTATAAGATTCTTGAAGAAAAGTGCTACGGAATAATTTATGCGAAGAAAGGAAACATTCTGTCGAACTCCTAGAGGATAAAGTCGATTTTAAGGTACCTATTCTGGGGTTAAAATACCCAAATCATCGGTAGAATAAATCCCGTTATATTACTGAAAAGAAATTGACTCAAATGCAATTGCATTAAATATGTCTTGATTTTGTTATTCTAAACGTCTTTCCATGCAAAGAAGTTCAACCATGTCCATGCTTAATTCATTCATGAATTGAAAGTAAGCAATCTACATCCCGAAAATCTACCGATTTGCCGTAAATAATCGCAGAAACTTGATATATCAGGTCGATGTACCCACTCGTTGCATTTACGAATCCATTTTGTGAGTGCACATATGTAAAAGTCAATACGATATAGTCATTTTGGGTGCATTTATTTTTCATGAAACAATATAATATATAAGTAATTTTAATCCCGAAAAATTCCGAGGTCAATTATACTTAATTGTAATTTATATATTTCTTTTTTCCCCTTCATTTTATTTTTTGTATGAAAAAAATCGAGGTTTCGTCGATTTCTTCTGATTTCGAATACTGTAACTTCTCTTCTATTCGGCCGATTTTTATGAATGGGGCCTCTTTTTATTCGTGTTTTAACGGAGAGTAAGGAAAAAATTGCTAAATACACGCGAAACAATTTTTTTTGAAAATTGGATGAATCCTAGCGTGACGGTGAAATGGTTAATTAAGCGTAAGTAATCGGGAAAGGGTCTCGGCGCGGTCGAGACCCAAGGCGGCCCAAGACCATTGTTCTTCGAGACGCGAACGCAGTGATCAGGAGCGTGGGGAAGAGAGGGCTAAGTGGATTCCTGTATGAGCAACGTTTAGCAAATGGTCTAAAGAGTCTCGAGGCTCATCACCGATTGCACTTACGGCTCCTGGCTGGCCCCGGCTATCAGAGCAGTGATACCAAATTTTGAAAAGCATAACAGGGATGTGGAGATCTGCCAAAGCAACGTTTTGAACAAAACGGAGGAGTAAAATTCTCATTCGAAGACTGCCGATCTGCTCAGCCATCCTCGAATCAGTTCGCTTGCTTCTGCTTATATATGCATTTTTTAAATGAGCGCTGAGCATTCTTAGGTTTTTTTTAAAAAAAAACCAAGTAACGTAGACTCTTGGTATTTATTGCACAAAAACTAGAAAGCCCCAGAATGAGAAACAACTTTAAATCATAATTATTGACGGATTAGTAAACTTTTTACACGCTTTGGAAAATCTCAGAAGTTCGCGGTAGTCACTTTTCGGTAAGGAACTAAGGGACTCGGTTATTGTATCGAGTGGGGGGTCGAAACGACCGCAAAGGCGGTATACTACGTATACGCGCCAAAAGCGCCTACATTGAAAACTAGCTGTTTGCAGCCAGCCAAAGGGCTACCGCCCCCTAGACCCCCAGTTCCTCACCCCGCGAAGAACGGGTACCTAGACACGCTTCACGTGTCGACGATATAAGTGGAGATGTACATTATTAGCTATGAACCTTGACCCGCGGAAAATTATATAATAAAAAAAAATGGAAAAGCTGTCGAGAAGCGAAAATGTAATCGACTGCTTAATGATGTATGAAAGTCAACAGAACTTGACTAAAAAAGCCTATAACGCACAAATTCATTGTAAGATCAGGCTGATTGTTGTTCATCATTTTCAACGCATGAAAAAAAATTAGTATTATATACTTTCAACGCATGAAAAAAAAATTAGTATTATATACAAAATTAGAAACCGTTAGAATTCGGCAGAAAAATTAACATAGTTGCGGGATAGACCAGAGATAAGGGGGGCACGGTGCACATCGTGTAACCAGTAGAAAATAAACAGAAAGCAGGGAGGCCGCGCGCATCGTGTAACTGAGTAAAGTAAGTAGCATCTCTAAACGGAAACATTCCTAGGTATATATTGCGATTTTATCGGCGATAAAATCGCCAGGATCATCAACATCTGAGCGATTATCTTCGATCTTATCGCGATAAAATCGCGCCTTTATCACTCGACAGTTTATCGCGATGTTTTCGAAGTAAAAATCGCGATAAATGGCTATTTAATCTCGATTCTATCGACGAAAATTGCTCACGATATTATCGAACCAAAAGTTGCAATGTGTAACGATTTAATTGCCGTATATCGCAATTTTTAATGCGATAATATCTCGATATATTGCCATAGGTACCGTTACAATCGCGATAACCAACCGATACTCTTCACACTGGGGGGACCGACAGGGCCTGCGCCCCCTCCCCGCGTGGCCCTGAGGAGCTGTTGTAGGACTTTGATACCTGGAAATTTGTGTTTTTCATGGAAAATCACCCTCGGCTTAAAATATTTCCGGATGTTTTCCGATAATTTTTAAGAAAACAAGGGTTTGGCGCGAAGGGAATACATCAGGCCTGCACCCCTTCATCCTTGCATGGCCCTTGGGAGCCTTTTCAGAGCACTAGAACCTAAAAATTCGGGTTTCTCGTGAAAATTTACCTATGAATCTCAACTTTTCCTGGGATTTTCCATTCATCTTGAAGAAAACTAGCGTTATGCGCGAGGAGCTTAAGCATGGTAATCTCCCCTTTTCAAGGGGCTCTAACGTGGCTCAAAATTGAGCGTTTGAAACCTTTTTTAATCTTCACCACAGTTTTCTCCGTGATTTCTAGATTCGGGTCAACCCCCCCCCCCCCCCTACCCCCAAAGGGCGGTGAGAGCTCCCGAAAACATTAAAATTCGAATTCCTTGGGGTGGATTCCCTAATATGTTAACTACCTTCAATAACTCAAAGACCACTTCTTCTTCGAAAAAAAGGCCTGGTGCGGTAGGTCTGGGTCACCCTGTAGAAGGTACAACAATGCTTAATTTTCTCCAATACAAACATGAACTACTAGGGGGCCCTGCCCCCTGACCGCTACGCGGCCCAACCCCCGGGAGGGCGCCTCGCGCCCTCAGACCCGCTTCGCGGGCCATATACGCATATGCATGGGCAAAAATGTTCTTCCATTTTAATACACCATTTTGTGTTCGAGCTGCATCGATTTCAAAATTTTTGACGTAACCTTCAGATTTGTAAATGATGAGGAATAGCTGGATGTACATGGTTTCACAGTCCATTTACTGGAGAAATGTCCGTTTATTATGTTATTTTTAAATAATTATTTTTTTATCGGATTTCGACCGTTAAGAGTTAATAATATTTGGTCCGTCCCGACGCACCGCAGCGCCTGCCTTCTCACTTTTTATCTGCTGTAAATATTAATAGAAATTCAGCAATCAAGTAGGTAAATTGACCAATGCCACAAATCGAAGCCGGAAGAATGCAGGAAAAATTGAGTCAAACCTTATACCTTGGACCTTGAACCTTGAACCCTGAGCGATGCACCGTTCGTCAACTCTTCGAATGAGGAGCCCTTCACGAGCTTTTCCATTGTTTTATTGTTTATTCGAGTCACTCAGGTAGAATCCCACACCTTGACGTTTCTAGCGGAAATGACATATCTCTCACGCTATTAACATTGGACTTAAGTGACATGAGCTTTAAAAGCTCTACAACATTAAAAGTTCGGGGTTTCATAATTTTTTGCACATCTACATCTACTACAGATGACATACATGTAAAGATCATCCTCATCGGTCCGGCAGTTCGTCAGAAATAGTGCTTCCAATATTTTGCTTGTAGCTGTATAATATAGATTAATCGAGGGGTTTAGAGGACAGGGCGCTTAAAGTGCAGTTTTTGAAAGAATTATGATTAACAATTTCAAGTAAAACTAATCTTACTGCATATTCTGTGAAAAATTCGATCCTAAATGCATATTTTTAAGCATCGAAAAGTCAATTCGAACTTCTTTTCCGCCAAGAGGATCCATGTAATTTTGAAACTTCAAACACGTATTTCTCGAGATAAAGGTAACGTTGCATGGTGGCAACGATCATGGTGTCAACCGTACTCGTGCACCCTGATGTCCTCCAAGCCCCTCAATGGGCCTGTTGCAAACTTTTGCTAGAGCAAAAATAAGAGTTGTTTCTTGTAGATAATGTCTCAAAAATCACGATGAGCGCATCGGCAAAGTCTGAAATGCACTCATAACTTCACAATCTGCGTAAGAAATTTGCGTTTTTTTAAGCTTCCCGCTTCAAAAACGATACTACGGCATAGGTGAACATTTTGTTAGAGGAGTCGCTCCATCGTCGGCGATATTCATCATGGCCGACGCTTGCACGCAGTTCCGCGCGTAATTCAAGGAGAGTTCAAGGTCAATCAATTCGGGCGTGGAAAATATGAACGTTAACACACCGATTGTTATCTGGTCTAATCCAGTTCAGGTGTTATCTCGTCCCATTGAACGTGTTTTGGCGGATTGGCGTCGGCTATGATGATTATTGCCGACGATGGAACGACTCCTCTTACAAAATGTTCACCTGTGCCGTAGTATCGTTTTTGAAGCGGGAAGCTCAAAAAACCGCAAATTTCTTACGCAGATTGTGAAGTTATGAGTGCATTTCAGACTTTGCCGATGCGCTCATCGTGATTTTTGAGGCATTATCTATAAGAAACAACTCTTAGTTTTGCTCTAGCAAAAGTTTGCAACAGGCCCATTGTAGAAGAAATCAATTTTTTCCATGTTTTCTCGAAACTTGACTTTTAACGGTCATTCTCTTCTTCAAATAGCCCTGTTCTCTTTTCTAACTTAAAATTCTCACCATGATGTGTAAACCGTGTGTTTCAGACCTTATTTGGCTCCTAACAATTTGCACGATGGATACTGGGTCGGACTGTCCCCATCAGATACCAATCCCCTTAAGCTGTGACTCTTTGAAAAAATCCCTGCCTCGACCCTTTTCGATAGAGTCCCTGATCGGAAAACCATACGAGAGCACGAAACCCATCCCGGTAGAAAGCCCTCTGAACCCGGTGACACGGGATACGCGACCTCTCGACTGGACAGAGCTCAAAGATGACCCCAAAAGCGAGCCTCTCCAGGCGGGGTACTTCGAGATCCTCCGAAACTTCAACCGCGAATCGAAGTCGGTGAATTTCGAAACGAGTCCCTCGAGTCGGCTCAAAGAGACAAAAGACAAGGACTTCATGTGCCGTAAAGACTTCACCAAGTCGACTTTCCCGGACTCAAATAGGACTTTTTCACATTTCCTCCACATGCCATTTCCGTTGTTCTACAATACGTGGTTACCACTGAGCCCCAGTTTACCCCTGCAGTACTGCGACCAAATCATGGCGCAATCTGTTCCGCCCCCCACCTACTCCCACCAGGACCAGGATGAGAATGTGCTCAGTGCCGAAGAGTCCGATAGTTCCAGGATGGAGGATGGACAATCTCCTTGCGATGACGCTCCCGGATCTCCAACGAGGGGTAAGTATTTCATGTAAATTTGATCACAACGTACACCTCTCATATATATCGATGACCAAAGTGCGGAACTTGTATCTTAATTTAAATATCACAATAGATATATTAATTTATAAGACTCACAAGTTCTAGCAGCATACGTCTAGAATTTTTAAAAACAAACGCGAGCTTTGAAAGTTTAATGATGAGAGCTATAACTTGATCCCAGCTTCTCTTAGGATCTCTGTAAGTGCGAGAGAGACGGATTACGGTGGTAGAGAGATACCTGCAGCTGCTGAGAGCGATCATTCGCGATTGGTTGTATCAGGGTCATCATGCTTAAGTAACCCTGCTTTTTTCCGGGATTAAGTTTCAGAGCTTCAAAAATTACTTTTCACGTCTTTTTTAGTGTCAATAGGAAGGAGAATGCCGTGGCGGGAACTTATGTTTCTTCGATTTTAACAAAAATTCCTTTAACTTTCATAAAAGCTCAAGGACTCACGTGGGGCTGTACGGACTCTAATGGCGTAGACCAAAAAATCAAAACACAGTGGGGGCGCTCCCAGCGTGGAAAAATGTCTTACTATGAACCGCTGTAGATTCACTTTAACCCGAAATCGACTTGTTCTGCCTAGTTACTCTATTTTTCCGTCGTAGCTTTCTTTGATTACCTATATAATCGGCGGACCATCGGAATTTACCTCGAATGTGCCTATACACAAATTGGGTATAAAATTTGACTCAATGCGCGATGCGAAGGAGGTGCGTTAAAGAAATGGAATGACACATCAAACGAATATGCCACAAATTCATCTCAGCGTAGTTTTGAGGGGGAAAAGCAGCAAGTTTCGGGGCTAAACACCCGTGGCACTTCGTCGAAATGATCAAGTTGTTGTCCCCCGCACGAAGGGACGTAGCTTCATTCCAAGGTTGAAAAATTAACTCAAACAATTCAATTTTTTACGAGAGGTGAATCTACATGACTCTTGTCGAAAATTTGTTTGATGTTTTCATGAAATCAGAAGAAAAATTAGAGACAATTTTATTTGGAAACTTTCAAAATTATCCTCGTAAAAATGCAATTTGCAGAAAAAAAATCTGGCAAAATTGAAATGTAGTTACCTTTTTTCATGAGAGAAACGACAAAGTTTGGTACAGCAGCGTACCCGCTTTAAGTTATGCGGGTCTACATTGTAGAATTTTGATATTTAAGTTAGGTGACGGGAGCAAAACGTTTGTCAAAAACGGTTGAAAAAGTGTCCGATGGGGGGAAGGGGGAGAGTGGGGTACATTCTGTGTCGGAAGTGTGGCACGGGATGGAAACGGGTTGGACGGCAGTATTTGAGCTCGATTAAGCCTAATGAGAAGTGAAGCATTTAGTAAAACATTATTTCCGACGCGCGTCAAATAAAACATTTACCGCGGCAGCAGTCGCGCCGCCCAGCGAGTGGAGACATCTCTTTGAAGCTAGGCGCTCATAATTTTAACGCGCGCCTCGCGTCTCGTGTCTCATCCGCATCGACTGTTCCTGTCTGCACTTGCAACACGACGCCACATCGCTCACCGCAACTCCCCAAATAATGAAACAGAAAGAAGGGCTCTCATTTTGTCTCGCCAAAAATTCCGGGGTCCCGGGAATTAATTCCGACTTCCTAAAGTTCCGAGAAAAACTCCGATTTACTCAAAAGTCTCGGGAAAAAATTCCAAAATACCCCCGGATTTAGTTCCGAAGGTTTTCAAAATTGAAGAAAAGAATCGGCCAAACCAACGAAAAACTCAAAATTCAGAAAAATTTCCAGACAAGTTTCAATTATTTGGAAAGTTTCGAAATTCGGACTTAATTCCGGGAAATGGCAGCACTATCAGAAAGCCCTCGGAACAGGAAGAAGAGAAAAAAGTAGGCAAAGGAAGTAATTTAGGATGGATAGGGAGATAGGGAAATGAGAAAATGAAATGGAAGAGGAGGAGGAGGAGGGGGAAGAAGGAGAGGAAGAAGGGGGCACAAAGGAGGAAGAGGAGAACATGGAAGAAAAAGGAAAGTAAAAGAAAAGGAGGTTTGGGAGGGCGAAGAGGAATAGAGGATACAAGAGTAAAATGTAGGAGAAAGAAAAAAATGGGAGTAAGAGATTTGAGGGAAGGAAGAGGAGGGGAAGGGAGAGGAAAATTAAGTAGAAAAAAAGAAGAAAGAGGAAAAAAGTCATACGAAAAAAGGAACACGAACAGAGATTGAAGGAAGAGGAATATGAGAAACGAGAGAAAGGAGAGGAATAAAAAGGCGGAGAGGGAGAAGAGAAAAAGACATAAGTGCAAGAGGAAATTGAAACATAAGTAAGAAGAGAGAGAGGAAAGAGGGCAAGAGGCAAACGAAAAGCTGACCCTTAAAATCAAGTTTAGTGATGACATCGCTAGCAGTAAGTCGCGTTATTATAACACTTGAGATGAGATGAGCGAACTGCTCCGTGAATAATGAATTAAACAAAGCCGGTGCCAGTGATGCGTGGAGAGGGGAGCAGAGTAAGAGGGACGAGGGTGTCACGGTGAAATTAACCGTAACTTTAGCTATCCGTGAAAATTGCCCACAGTGCCGCTCAGACACAGTAAATTTAATCTTGTTTGCAACTCGGCATCTCCGGGACTCTCATCGACTAAGTTTCGGATTCAGAGACGTACTTACCTATAATTGAAAAATCAGGGTAATGACTTAGTACCAACTCAACACATTTGCAATGATGATTTACCTACGCGGTTTTACAAGGGTGCCAGTGAGGGCCGGGCGGCGGGCGCCCCTCAGCAATAATAGAGTGCTGGCACCGAAACCATGAAAGAGGCCTTTGGTAAACTACAGAGGTCGAAAACTAATCTGAGAACAATGCATACAAACTGGTATTATTACTTCATAAAGTCTTTTACCATGTGCTTTACTATGAATAAATTACTTTTTAACAAGTACAGTAGAACAGTAATAACATGTTAGAAAAGATCAGATCACTGCTATTATAGATTCTACATATACACCCTGTTGGCAAAAAGTCCGCGAGAAGGTCAGTGTTCTTTCTCAGCTCGTGAACTGAGCAGTCAGTCCGTGGTTCGACTGATTAAAAGTCTGAAAATTGAGCCAACGGGTCATTAATTATAAATGCAATGCTTACTCTAACCAACAACTTCCTCAACTCACATAACTCTGACGAAAATTTAGCAGAATGTTTAATGAAACTTAAAAGTATCAAAATAAAACCTAGCACGGAATTAATCCAAATGGTATCTCAGGATATAGGCACCAAAATGTCCCTCCTCACAGATTTTGAATTTATTGGTCGAAGCCCTTTGAGAAGGTCCTAAAATTATGGTTTGGGGCAATTTTTACCTCCCGACTCCAGCAATCCTTCCTCCGGCCCCCAAAAAAACCATTTTTTGGGAATTTCGAGGTATTTTCATGTTTTAAATCATATCTCCCGCACGGTTGTAGGTGAAATGCACCAAATTTTACATAATATGCATCAGGTCATTCAGATTCTCGGATAATAAAATCAAATCCATCGAACTGTTAGACCTCTAAAAATATTCGTAAGACTTGTAAATTCTCATTTTTTTCAAATTTTAGCGATTCAAAAAAAATGAGAAAACGTATATACCTCCTTTTTCACCTAAAAGTGTACGTAATATACCCAGTTGTTACCAAAAAAAATGTAAGCTCTCAAGTTTGGTGCGTCCCACAGGAAAAATGGTTGCTTTATTGCCAAAACGGACAACATGACTGTTCCGGCAATACGGTTTACTCGCGCTAACTCACTAATTTTTGGTTCCGAAAATTCAATAAGCATATCCTAGTATCGTTTGAAAAGGTTTTAAGTCTATTACGTCCCCATGTCCTACGTAAAAAAGGGTTTTTTGTGCCAAAACTGTAAAAATCGCTATTTCAGTAAACGTTACTCGCATTCATCACGATTTTCGAGCAAATTCACCTACTTTTTCTCCTGAGCATTCAAAAACCATGTTCTAGTCTCGTTAGAAAAGGTTTCAGGTCAATCGAGTCTCTTGTGTCTGGTGTAAGAAAAACCTGTTTTTTGGCGCTGTTGACTCATCAACTGTTACATGATCCTAACCTAGTATTGAGAACAGGCATATAAATTGAATCTATGAATGTGAAAGACTCTTCTTTTATTCTAAGTGTTCCACATAACGGTGACCCCGACGTACTTATTAAACATTTCGTTGTGTAATGTGTATGAAAGATATGAAATAGGCGCTTGCCACCATATCCGGAGGAAAAATAAATAAATAGAGAACGAAGTACACCTTGCCCTCAGACCGTGGGGGAAAAAACAAGGCCCTGTGACGGCTAAGGGCTAGAAAACGAAAATTGGGGGTTGAGCGGCTGTTCCTCGCCAAATCTTCGTTTTGATGTCACCCATTATACATGTATTCCCGCGCAATTTTTTGCGTTCTTCCCTTTTCTGACCTTCTCTGACCCCTTTTTAAGGGGCGTTGAGCTTTTTTCTCAGTTTGTTTGAGTTCTTTTGGTTTTAATCCGTATTTCCTAAAGATCTATTCGTGCCGTAGGTATATTTTCAAGTTGTTTTAATGTATCTAACTCGTCTAACGAAAAAAGTGCAGTCTGATCTTGCAGATGATGCTGCTTTGCATGGTCATAGGTGCTCGCAATCAGTTCCGATTGCACTTGTTATGCGCTTAATCAGTGGCAATCTATGTCACTGTATCACAGTCCAGGTCTATGATGGCTTGAATAAACATGGAAAATCCTTGATGGTTTGCTGATTTCTGTTATTCTTATATTCGCAAGCGCTCAAGTCTATAATGTGATGAATAGTAAATTCTGCGGGAGGGGAGGGGGGTTAACGGTGTGATACGTTACTTTGTAACTATGAACCAACACTAATTGTCGGTATTATATGTAATAAAGGACCAACATTTACCGACCTTGGTAAGAGATTTCAAGGAATATTCCACCGCAAAACATTTAGAAAAAAAGCCGGTAGGAGAGATGCTGGCAAGCTCATCGTAAT